ACATCATTCTTCACAAGGTGTTTGTTATTTTAATTTGTTTTATCCCTCTAATTATTTTTATTTTGCCTCAAAACCAAAAAATGTGAGCCAAGAATAAGTCCAGGAAGGTGAAGTTTTCAAGCAGCAGCATTCCAATGATGCGTTCAATCCATCTCCTACATTTTTAATGAGGAATAATAATTGTGATAACTGAGGAATGTGGTTGTTATGAAAACAAGGAATAAACCAAATGTGATGTAACATTTTGTAAATACTGTTACACCACAAAAGTTTAATAACTGACACAAAATTTAATGGTAAGGAAAATGTGATAACCTTTGTGACAACACTTTGACTTAAAATATTGTTTAAAAAAATGTATTACTTTTTTTTGTTAAAAGTTAATGAATTTAGCCTTACTATGTTTTTCTTGGATGTTTTCCAGTTTGTGTCAGTTATTAAATTTTGTGGTGTTCCAGATGCAAGAAATCTCTCACACAGTAGGCATATATGCATATTTGAAGGGAATAAATGCTCATAAAACTTTGTCCTTTTTATTTTAGGCTTTTTATGACTTTTTAGGACTGTTTTTTTGTAGGCAACCAAATTTTTCTGTCTGGCAACCTGGCAACTGAAAAAACAATTTGGTCACCACTTTCACACATGCACTAAACACTGAATTTTAAATATTTTATTCTTTGAACAAATGTTGAAGAAAATGATAGGAAATATCTATCAGACTTGATACCATTCATAACTTGTTCTTTCAAACTCAAATATCTTTGTTCCCTCTGATCTTTTGAACAGATGCTGGTACAACAGATAGATGGAATCGTATTAGACACAATCTGGATGTAGTGACTGAAATTTTGAAAGGTAATTTCTCTTGGTACTAAAAGCTGATAATGATAATGATAATGATTTTTAATGATTCGTATCCTCAGAACTCTTTATTGTTCACTATACTACAACAATGTCTTTCCAGTGATGTTACCAATCCATCTCTTATCTAATTTATGCAGAAACTGTAACTGACTGAGGAAAGACCACTTAATTTAATTCCAGTATATTTAGGTTAAGATGTTACACACTCAGATAGCCAAAAAAAACTTGATTGAATTTTTTTTCTAATTATTTCAACTTGAAAGTAAAAATGGTTTTTTATTTGATAAAGATATTTTCTTACATGCCTCCTTCTCATGTGTAATAATCAACCTTGTGTGTTTTTTCACTTTCTTATTCGGTCAAATATATTTTTGGTAAGGAAGTTTTTTTTTCTGCCATGGTATGCAGGTAAAGTGTACTTACAAGAATACAAGAATTTCCTTCATAATATAATATTTTACTGTAACATTTGTCTTGCTCCTTCCCAGCTAGCTCTATGGGATATTAATTTTGTACATTAATACTGACCCTATGAAAAGATTGTGGCCTTTGAATTTAGACTTAACAAGAAACTGAAGTTCAGCATACTTTATTTTAAATGAGCACAGTTTCTCAGTAAGCACCCTTTTTCTCTTTGTTTTATCTGAAATGAAGCTGTAAATGCCCACATGAACACTTATTAATGTCCTGTGGATGTCTGCTTAAGACAGCTTTCACTATATTATTACTATTTGGCATCATGCCTGTAGCAGAAAAGTGAACGCAGAATTTTGAATTTTTACCTTTTTCCCATCAAGCCTAAAGAGACACTTGTTTCCTACTTAAGCTGACACTATGAGATTGTTTCATGTCTGTTGTCAACAAACCAATTTTTTCTTCCACTGATATATGTGTTACTGCTGTTTAGGTTGTATTTCAGATTGTTTAAGTAAGCTCACCACAGGCAGTGGAGAAAAAACAATGTTCAATGGATATGTTTTAGAAACTTTGGTTCTCTTGGTTGAGGTAATTGAGAATGGAGTATTTTCCATTTCATGTTAAGAGTTATTGTTTAGTTAGTAACTGTAATTATCAGATTGAGAAGGTCACTGAATTAGAATTGGCTCAGAGAAGGATATTTCATGTTTAACACTCAGTTTGAACTAGGTTACAAATTCATGCTCTCACATAATTATCTTGCTGTCACATATCTGTGGTAGTTAAATAGTTAGCAGTAGTTAGTGGTTAATTTTCAAGGGCTTTGATAATATTGCCCAGAACTTTTGTGTACACTATGGCTGAAATTTGAAGATTTGAATTATAGCTTGATAGCTGTAACTTATGATTTTGGATAAAGTGGTGTGTCAATTGTTATAATTTTTATTCATACTTTATGTCTATACATACTGGATTTATTTTGTGGGACAATGTGGTTATTGCCACAATGACACTTGCTTTATGAATACTTGGATTTGGAAGATTTGTATTGTAATTTAACTTCACAATTTCTTCTTTTGCAGAGCTGTTGTTGTGTCCTTCTTTTAGCAGCTGTATGCTGTAGCTTTTTACAAACAATGTCAGGTAGCAAAAAGACCAAGAAGAAGAAACCTGCTCCCACAAAAACGGTTAGTAAAGAGAACATTATGACATAAGGCTCACTCCAATGATCGAGTTTGACTGACCAACCATTTGGCTCATGGACTGATTGTCTGATTGTAGGACTGTCGTTAGAACTGAGTAGTTACCTGATCAAGTCTAATCCAGTGGCACAAGTTAAGGTTAAACAAAAACAAAAAAAAAATGGAAGATTGGAATGAGTGAAAAATCCTAGTGGGGCTTGTAAATGATGCATTTGAGATCTTAATTGAAGAACAGGAGGATTCTTACACAAATTTGAGTAATTTAGGAACTCTGTTCCAAAGCTTGCCTCAATAGCTTTATTTACACTAACACTACTGTACTTAATATATGTTACTTTTTTTTTTTACCTCTATCAGAATGAAGAGATGGCACCATTTAAAGAGTTCCTATCAATGCTTAAATCTTCTCTCACATCCCTACATTCAGCACTTGTAGAAGTGAATGTTTCTCAGCTCTCTGATGAGCTTTTGGAACTGGATTTAGTTGAGCTAGACAATGAGGTAAAAACTAGTCCTACTCCTGTAGAGCATAAGCTATGCTTTGATTTGTGATAGATATATAAAAAAAGATGATTGCAACAAAAGTACTAGTTTGTAAAGTATTAAATTGTAAACATGTGATAATGAAAGTCAATCTATCAGTTAATTATCAAGTTTGTGTTGAAGAAGTGTATTGTGTTTGTTCCTCAGACCAAGTCTTCCATTGTGTCCGAGATTTGGGAGAAACTGCAGACTAGCTTTAAACAGTCAGTGAAGGAGATCACAGAACTTTTACATCACAAAGTTGCTTTTGCAAAGTCTCTGCGTATTTAGGCATTTAACAATTAATGCATTTCATCAATGGATATCACAACAAATAATTGAGAAATTCTTAGAGGAGAGTTGCATCTTGTATTGTCATTACCTTTTGTGTTGAAGAAGGCAAGATAAGACATGGAGTTGTGCAACATTAAGGTTTGTCAAGAAGGGATGTAATGTGTTGTTAGTGGCCAAAAGAGTGAAAGCTATGGCTTTGAAAGGAAGCTCTACTCGCACCTGCATGTTAAGGAAGTGGAAGGAAGGTGGTTCCTTTTGCAGAATGGTTTATGGTTAGTGGAAAAGCAGATGCCATTTTATCAGCCTTGCATCATTGTGGTTTTATGACGATACAAGTATGGTAAAATTGGTGATTGTAAAGATAATGACGATTCCAAAGAGTTCAGACCTTTTTTGGGGGATGTAAGCTTCTACTTCTCCATATCTTTTGGATTTATGTGTGATGCAAGTGGTTCTCATCAGCAAAAATGTGCCTCGATCACACAAGAACCCTACACACAGACTCTCCCTGCCCACAATGATACCTCCAAGCTACTATCACCATCTTGTGACTTAGTTCCTGGTCTGAACAAGTATATTGAAGACTTAGAGAATTTTGAAAAAGATGCGAGACTTTGATAAAAAAAATAATAAATGTAACAAAGAAAAATATTTCAAGACCCACTACAAAGGCTGTCAGCCATCAGCTGCTGGTCAATCAGCTGACTGATGGCCAACAGGTTTTTCTGGGAGCTGTTCTTCACAGTTACCAAAAGTCTGCAAAATGGTATCACTTGCCACCTCTAACATTACTATCACACAGTGACTTGGAATCATTGTGCACTTGAATTTGTATTTCATAGTGTTTCATCATATTGATGGTACAACATGTTAGCTGATGGATGATTTGACTGGAAAATAAACATGTAAGCTACTTTTTTTTGGTTATGTGGTACACAAAGTGTAACCACCCATAGAAAAACTGATAACTTATGTTGGAGAGAACATCTGCACTTTTTATATTAGAGCACCTTTGGAAAGCAGTCAAAATAAGGACACCACAATATCAGAAAATAGTGCTAATATGAATATTTTTAAATCATGCATGGGTGTTTTTTTAGTGACCAATTTAGATGTCTGCCAGCATGATGCTGAATTTGATGCAAAACCAGATTTTTTTTTAGCACAATCCCTAGAGTAATAAAAACTAAATGTAGAGTGAAGTGTGTTTTACTGTCTTTGAGGATGTGAATTAAAGCTACTGAAATTCTTTATTATAGATGTATTGCTTATTAATTCTTGAGAAAGTATGACCCAGATTTACAGAAAAAAAAAATTTCTTCTGTACCAGATTGGGAAATGCAGCGGAAAATAATTTCCAACTTGTTTCAGCCATTATGTGATAAATATATAGCAGATATGTGGAATACACATGTTTAATAATTGCCCTAGGTGAAGGAAAATATCTTGATTTGTTAGTGGTGGGCAAATTGATTACCTTCTGAAGTTGTTTCTTATTTCAAAAGTGCCCCCCCCCCTCCTTTCCCTTCCCCTGTTATATCCTCTTAAACGGGCAATGTGACTGGAGTTTGCAAACCCAGTTTATAATTTAAGCAATAATCTATTTGTTTATGTATCCTTGTTTTGTTATCACTGGGTTACAGCTGCAGTCAATTGAGAAATACACAATTTTGAAAGGCAACCACTTTCCTTACAACAAAATACTGTCACTTATAAGTCCATTAGTTTATTATACATCTTTGATTTACACAAATTCCATACAACTCTTCAGAGCCCTTAGGTAAAATATAGAATCTGTCTCAAAACAGTAACTTCCATCTGTTTTGTCAAATTCCAAGATCTTTCACAACAAAGCTGATTCCAAAGTGTATCTCTTTCAATTAATAAAAATTTTCAGATCCTCTTAATTCCCTCCTTGTGCCTGACCTTGAAGCTGACTCATTAGCTGTTCATCTTGCATAGACATGGCTGTTAGTTTTTTGCCAATCCTATCATGTATTTCCAAATATTTAGCCACACACCGATCCAGGCACACTGATTCTCCTTTTGTTAGATCACCCTCTTTGTATTTTGGAGATATACACTTCTTCTGACAAGCCACAGTTAATCTGTAGGTTAAATTATGAATGCAACTTTTAACCCCTGAGGGATAGGCTCCTAATTACTCCTAACAGCATCACCTGAATCACTAAATCAAGTGCTAAGGTTATGAGAATAAAGGAAAAGATCGCAAGGTCTAAAAGTACTTGATTATTAAGCAATCTCTCTTTGTTAGTACCTTAGGAAATGAATAAGGAACATTATGGAGAATATACATGCTGATCTTAGGGTGTTAAGGGGTTAAGCTTAAGTAAGTCAGCTGTTCAACAAATCTACTATGCTGGGAGTTTTCTGATAACATTTGAGCAAACTAAGGAAAAATACAAACAGAGGGAGAGGATGGTGAACACTTGATAACATGTCTCGATTAAAAAAAAAACCCATGGGTAAAGCTACAGAATACAGGGCCACTTATTAACATCTCGTTTAATCACTATACATCCCTCAGTGTTCTGCCTCCTTCTTTAAAGCATGCCGAGAAGGTGCCGACCTCGGTGGCCCAGTATTCAGTAGTTACTCCCAGACCTTAATAAGGGTACACAAAAAGGTCGCATGTATACTCAAATACCATGGTAAAATAAAAAATTCAAGCGTAAGAAGAAGAAAAGAAAGGGAACGATTCATCAAGTTAGTTGGTCAACAGACTTCAAATTGTTCATCACATTCAGGAAATGGTCATGGTCAAAACATCTCATGGGAACCTCGGAAAGTGCCATCAGTAGTCAATTGCGAAATTCCCTCTTGTTCCTCTCTTGTTTCAATGCGTGCGTGACTTACGATCAACCCTTGAAATGAAGCAGAGTGCACTGGAAAAAGTTAGATCATTCCTCTGCATCTCACTTTGTATCATAGAGACTGACCTGTTATATAAGTCTGTCATCATTTCTATTTCCAGTTCTGCAACCATCTGTGCCTTAGCCGGGTCCATGATTGTATCAATAGCTATGTTTGACTATTCTTGGAAAGAAAATTTGGGCTGATGGCTCTCACACGTGTTTGACCGCCATTTTGAAACCGCTTCTATTGGGTAAGACCGCAGGCTAGCCACTGGAGGGTATTCTGTCGTGTAATAATACACGAAACGTGACGTAGGTCAACCAGAAAAGTAACGGAAGGAAAGAGTGGGAAGAAGATATTTCGTTGTCCTCCTCTGGCCCTCGAATTATCAGAGGCGATAATGGATAAGACTCCTATCTTACAACAGTCATCGTTGCTAAGCTACTGTGTTAATTCAAGGGGGAATAAAATCATTCAGGCGTTAATTTGCTTGACTGACTTTTATAATCCCTTAACCCGAAAATCCAAGTAATTTCCTTTCTACAGTTTTAGAGTACTTTCTAAACATTTCACAGCGCAAAAGATACAGTCAGCCTATAAATTCAGTAACTGTGGACTTTATTAAGATTTCTTGGTCAAGAAGGCGATTTTTTTGGTCGTTCAACCAGGAATTTATTGATGTTTCTCTATGAATCGGCGAAGTCATGTTACCTAATTTTTTTCTAACAGAAATTGTTTCTATTGTTTTAGACCAATTCACGAGCGCGAGTATTGTGTAATTTTCGCAAGCTATATTTCGCTGGACATAGTCTTCTTGAGTTCAGTCTTGGGAACCAGATTTTGTAACAGCTTTCTAAATCTAGGATCATTCATGGAGTCCTTCCTTGTCAAGCTCGGCGATAACAGAGCTGGTAAAGTTGCTGACTGCGGGTGAGAGGCGAGTAACGACCGCGTGGAGACCACACTAAGTCGTGGTTTCTCTTGAATTTCTTCCAGTGAACAATGTAAGCTACGTTCGGGCGAGGAATCATCGGAACAAAACTCCTCCATATTAATATAGCGTTTCTTTACACTTCTACTAATTCTTGGACTGCAACTCAGTCTTCCTCCTACTTCAATTGGTGGTAAGGTTAATAATTCTGGATTCGATTTACCGCGTCGAAGTAACCTTTTTTTCATAAATTCTTTCTCCCATCGTAACCGGCTTTCCTCTTTCTTCTGCAAATGTTCTATATGGTTAATATGCTCTTCTAGTTTAGCGTCTTCGAAGACGTTGTCTTTTAAAATAACTTTTCCGGTCTTACTGTCCTTAACTTTGAGAGCCGTATGTAAACTGCGAGTCAGTGACAGTTCTCTTGCCCTTGAATCCTTATCCATGTCGCTTGTTGTGTTTGTTTTTTGTTGATTGGCGATCAATAGGAAAATTATTTGGATTGACTGATCACCGTGGTACTGTGTTTCTTGGCGGGAAGGAGCCACTTAATCGCGCCAAGGTTTCGTTCCAATGTTCTTTAGACTGTAACTTAAACTGCTATGACACTGAATAATTTCTTTTTGATTTTTTTTGTTGAGTTATGTAGTACGTAAACGGAATTCGATTGTTGCGCCGTGGAGCATGCAATTCTTTACTATCATTAAATTTCTTTCTCCATTGTCCTAACATCATTACAAGGTTCATTAGGCAGCGGACTGTATTGCGTTTGCTTTGCTGAAGCCCAGGTACTTAACACACAGATCCACGAATATCCAATGAAACACTAGCTAACAATGTACTTACCGTTTCAAAAACTCGGGGCTAATCATGTCATCTGGTAGAGCATTGTCGTAAAGGTCGTAGATTTTCCAAAGATGGACAAGCGCAAACGTGACTGGACGGATGGGTTGCTGTGCCGACATGTCAACTCGCTGACAAGTAACTCACCGACATCACTGGTAAACTCGCCGAGGTTATCGATAAACTCCCCTTCTTTAGCTCCAGAAAAAGGGCCGTTAGAAACGCTCGAACCGTCAGCTTTAGAAAATCTTTACGAAGGCCAATTTACATTATCGACTCAGTTGAGGAAAGCAAATTTACTTATTTACCTGACCCTCTAATATATTGTCGATTAATCTTTTTTTGATATTGTTATATTTATCCCCTTAGGAACCAAAGGGAAATCGAAGCCATTCGAAAAATGACGGTGAAAGTTAGGAATGATAAGCTTGATAACTATGATGAAAATCGAAATAAACATAAAAATTTAGTCGAAACAACATATAGTCATAGAATTACTTCTATCGACGAGTCATGACATTGCTTACATACAAAGCCTCGTTTTATTTCCCCTCTGTTGAACCGCGTGACTTAGAGCACGACTTGAGTAGATCTTAATATCGATGGATCATTAATTGAAGGTGGTTATTAGTCGAAAAAGAAACTGTTTTGTTGCTTGGGCGACCGACACGCTGAGTTGAGTTACATCAAAAAATTGATATACCGCATAGCCGAGTAAACTTCCGCAGCGAAGTATAAATGGCTGTCTCCTCAAGCTTTCCCTTTCGGAATATTCCCCGCGGGTACCACCGGGAATTCTTGGTCCGATCGTTCCGCCAGGATCTTTAATCCTGACTCTAATTCTGATCAATAAATGCGATTTTCTACATCGATCCGTCTTTAACCTTGGCTTCCAGAACTGTATAGCTTACTTCGCAAAATACACCCGGGGTTCATTTTATGCTTCAACGAATGGCAAATGCTAAAAACGTGAAATTTTCATTATACACTACGGTGGTTTATCTGCCTTTCCCGTCCAGATGCATCGATGATAGTTAACTAAGTACTCTCTTTTCAGATTGCACCAAAGACAATTTGGTGAGTTGATAGGGAAGTCGGCGAGTTGACAAGTCGGCGAAGTAATCTCCAAGTTTGTCTCTATACACGGTTTTCTACGAAGTACGTTTATTTACTTTCCACCAAATTTCTACTGATTTCGATGTGAGTTGTCAGAGCATGGTCGCTAAGGTCACCAACGGGCGAGTAAGGTTTGTGCAGTTTAGTGCCTTTGGGAGATAAAGAAGACAGAGCTTGAACACGTCAGTCAGTTTAGCTGGGGTTTGATAAATATACACATGCAGTCGAACTTCCACACAATGATTTGATTCGGATGGTGCCTGTTATTTACAGATTAACTAAAATTCTTACTCCTTTTTAGTCATTAACGACTTTTTATAGAAGTTTGTAGAAAAACGCGGGAAAGATGATCATTGATAGGTAATGGCTCCTGTCATTGGTTCATCTTGAAGGTAACTTGAGATGCAGGGCAGAGCTAACAAGAAAACTTTTGGGCTTAGCTTCCTAGTTCTCAATTCAACATTACAATTTTTACATCTCATCAATAATTTTGATAAATGTTGTAAAATAAAATGATTGCCGATCTCAGGTGGAGCCTTAGCGGTCGATCCAGCGTGTTCATATTAAAGAAAATCAATGCAATATTGACATAAATAACTGAAAAAGCGAGGTGTCTTCATCTGTTGTAGGTTGGTATTGGAATAAAAATGGCCACATGGCTTCGTCATTAAGGTGTCAGTCAGACCTGTATAATAGACGTCTTTATTGGAGGTAACGCTAACTATAGCGATAATTTTATCTTACGGCGCGGTGTATTCATCTTTACCGCGCAAAAAGAGGATAATTTTTTTTGGTGGACATGTCATAGCTACGATGATAGTATAAAGTAAAAAAAACTTTATAAAGACAAGACGCCTAAAGGCGTTACCGTGGGCGTAGCATTAAAAGGAATTGTGCAGTTATTGCAAACTACCACTAAATAGTATTCCGGGTTTATCAAATTTCCTTTTGCAAAATTTGTCAAATTTAGCCGCTGGAATCCAAATCTTACTTCGCCTGCACTATTTTCCAATGCTGTCGCGTTTCGCCTCAGAGTTACTCAATATGTCTCTGCATCGTAACGCAATGACCTTTGTTTGCACGGTTCTCTCCAGCTTGGAACGCGGAATGAAATGACCTCAGAACGCACTTAATGCGGCTGCCGGGTTTTTCGACCCAGTGAAATTGAAGATATGCGGAAATGAATTCCACAGGTTTTATTTTTTCAGAAAAGCACTGGATTATTTTCGTCCGCTTCTGATCACTACAGCCGCCAATGTTTACATAAGGTAAAAATCGATAAAGATTTTACTCATTCCTATTGGCTAGCTTTGTAATTTGTCCTTGAAATGAAAAAGAAACCCAGCCGGATTTTTACCGTGGTATGCCACTGGCATCCCACGGAACAAGGTAACCCATTCAGCCCGAAGCCTGGCATCCATGGAGGCCTTGTGTCAAATATGCAATAATGACTACAATATATTAAAACTAAAATTACGTTAAAGATCTAAAATATATCAAGTAACTAGTAAAATCTCTAATGCATGTTGGTAACTCACCGTTATGGGCTATCGTTCTGATCGCTTTGATTTACAGTCACAATTTATGGATTGCGTGACCTTCTTGAGATAATTGTTATCACATGACTGCCTTCGCAGTTTATCACTACTTTCGGCAAACATATTAACTATCAAACATGGCGGTAAGGAAGTCTCGTTTTAAGAGGTAGGTACTTTTCGTATTACATTGGTTTTCCCTGAAACCAGAAAATGAAAGTGCTTCATTCCATGAAAACTTTTTCATTATTCTGTCTGAAGAGCATAAAAGAGGCCAGCAGTTCGACTAGGCAATTTCTTTGATCAAGTGATGTTACCATGACCTGTTGTCAACAAGAAACTGTATTTGCTTCGTTCTTCAAATTCGCTCAGGGATTCTTGCATTGACTGTTACAGCTCATCACAATGAGAACATGTCCATCTGTTTGTAGAAGGTGGTGGTTCAATGAGTGATGACATGCGTAGGTGATCAGCATGGAAACGCGGCGCAAATATAAAAACTTACAAACCTTCAGCGGACTTCTCACCGGGATTAAGAAACTTTTCTTCTTTTCAGAGGAGACTGAAAATAATTTAAATCTGAAGTACTACCCAGCAGCTTAATGCAACACAATTGTCTTTAAACTAGTTTTATGCAAATTCTTCGGTGTTATTCGGACAAAGCAGACTGTGTAAACCCTGCAGAACTAGACGGTTTCGAGATCTTCATATGGTTTGTTACTGAATGGCTGTTAGTGTACGTAGCCAGTTCCAGACAGTTGACCGTTCTAAATAGCTCGGCACAAGCTTTTGCTAGAATCTTCATTAAACTTTGATAAGTTCAGTTTGTAATCAAATGATTTACGAATAGCATTAATTACGTATATCACGCTATCAGAACTTTTGGATAATAAAGAATAGGCGATTAAATTATCTGTGACTCAAAATTTAACATTAAACTCTTTTTTTCCAGGCATCATTAGTTCTTTCGCTACTTTGAACAAATGAACACAAATTTCGGACGTTAAGATCGAACTTTTCCAATTTAAAAAGGCCGACACCAATTGAGTGACTTGAAGGAATTCTTTGAGTCTATGGGACCGAAAGTACTCTTCGGCGACGAACGCAACCTGCGCTCACAATTACCACATTCACCGGCATTTGAAACAGAAGTCAAACACCTGACGAGATGGGCATGTTAAAGAAATTTCAGACTGAAATCGTTTCTGAGTTTTTTTTAAAATCGAAAAAGCTATAGAAGTGGGGTAATGTTTTTATTCGTAATCAAAATCAAGAGTGCATATATTACTATTTTACAAAAGAGAAATTGTTTATCTTTTGTAAAATATTCCGATGCGAATCGCGCTTAAATAGGTAACCTGCAGGGAGGTTTTGTAGGCGCGCGCGCAACTGCCGGCTCGCCTCGAGCTATGATCGAGTGGATAACACTTATCAATATTAGAGTCACGCATGTTTGTTTGTACTTAGTTTTCTTATTTTAGTTCCACAATAAGAATTTATTTAGAGGCTACAAAATTGTGTTTCCAATGTTCCATGCACTTAAGAAAGATTCGAGATCGTAAATGTTTTTGCCCATTTTTCATTAATTCATAGCCGAACGTTATGTTCTAAAATGTTATGAAGTATTTAGTTAGTTCATTTCGCAGAACTTCCCACTTGCGTTACTGAGAATTCCGCATACGCTGGTTCAATAATCTTGGACCGTATACTTTCACTTGATCCAGGCTTTATTGCCGACAATTCAGCATTACACGTTCCGTTTTACGATCTATCTATTCTATTACAGTCTAATCGTAGGGTTACAGAAATTGCTACATTTATTAGCTAAAGAAATCCACACCCAGATACGTAATTCCTTCCGGGATTCAAGACTTGCTCACGTTCTACAATGATTCGTGGGCACTAATTTCCTATCAAACATGGCTTAACTTGTCAATCATGCTGCTATGTTCCTGCGCGCTTAACGCCCTGGAAATACCTAATTAGATACATCACTGTTCGCAGAACTAATTTGATTATCCTACGTCGCTTCCTATTACATGCGACTTAAATTGTAACGTTAACACTGTGCTTTAACGGTAACGAAATTATAACTTACTTGATACACAATCAAATTTATAATAAATCAATGAAATGCATTTTTAGCGTAGAAATGTTTTACGACAATTCAGTATGAGTCAGTATTTAGTGACAATCAAAGTTAGATTAAATAGGTAAGTTTCGAAAGAAACTGTGGTGCGTCGGTGGGAGAGTATAGCAGGTAGTTTAGTGTTAACAACTGGGTTGAAAACCGCAAAGGGTAGAAAAGCTGACGTTTCGAGCGTTAGCCCTTCGTCAGAGCGATTAACCAGAGTTAAGTCACACGACCAGAGTTCACGCCAGAGGGAAGTAAGATTGAAGGATGTAAGTAGCATTGTTTATCAGAAAACCAAGAGACTAAAGTAGACTACAAAAGACTGCTCGAGAGTCCTTGGTGCCTATCGCAATAGTGTGGTGCGGTATGCAGCTAGTTTCCCCTATCATAGTGACGTACCTAGCAAAGGACTTGCAAACAATAAGTCAATTAGAAGTCAACATGCTGACGCCACTTTTGTCAATTGCTTTCTTGTTGTTATTTACTTTGTTTATCTTTAGCGTTTATACATATTTTTTCTCTCTGCGCCTTTTAGTTAAACCTTATGCACGCTTCACATTTCATTCACAAATTTCGAACCTATCTGGCTTGGTCTCCCTTAGTTGAGAAAAATTTCCGTAGACTTCCACTGCAGTTGGTGAATACGATACTATTTACACTGGCCGATTTTCTTGCTTTCTTTAAAATAGGTTTCAAACAAGGGAAATGTCGTTGAAACGCTAGAGATGAAGTTTTGGAAGCGTAGAAGAAGAAGGAAGATTTTTTCCTTCAGGTGGCCATTTTGGCGTCGAGTTATCGTAGCTGGTTCGCTGCTGTCGTTTTTTGCTGTATTTGGAATTTATCTGGCAAACCATGCATCTCTACAACACTCTATAGTGGAACAGCCTACACAACGAAAATCGCCCTCGGCCAGGAGAAACTTAATAATAATAGCCCACGGCCGTTCGGGTTCTTCAATCACCGGAGACATTTTTAATCACCACCCAGATGTGTTTTACATGTACGAACCGCTGCAAACTGTGGAAAGAACCCAGGGAAAATTTCACTTAAATTATGACAGCCTTGTGCAGAAATTCATAACTGGTGTATTACAATGTAAATTCACAGATCAAGTCTTCTTGAAGGACATTGAAACGTACTACCGCAAACCTCTTCATCCTCGGATTAGTCACGCTATTGCCTCGCCACCTCTTTGTCCTTACAACATATCCGACCCGAGATGGGATCCACGACTTTGTGCCAAAATGACAAGCGAAGCACTTGAAAATGCATGCAAAAATAGCTATACGCTCACTGTGATTAAGGTTCTTTTAAGCCGCATGCCGCGCAAAGGCGGAATAAGAAAGGCTCTAGCTGTTTGCGATTCACCAGACATTGACTGTAAAACAGTGCTGTTAGTAAGAGACCCTCGTGCCGTGATACCTTCTTCACTGAGTGTTAACTTTTACAGAGAGGTACATGGAGTTGCTAAGCACGGAACAAGAATGTTTAGCTACAAAATATGTAAAGAGACAGAGGAAAGTCTTAATTTTGTCAAGAATCTTCCCCCTTGGCAACGAAGCAAAATCAAAGTGCTGAGGTATGAAGACTTTGCAAAAAATCCTTTGGACGAAATGAAGCGACTGTTCGACTTTGCCGGGCTATCGGTGTTAGACAGTGTTACAACATGGTTAAATGAAAGTACACATCCGGATAAACGAAGATCTGAGATGGAAATACGAGGTAGCCTGGTTGCTTTCACTGTGGATGATGCAAAAATTGCCATGAATCGCTGGCGATGGAAAGTCCACCCATACGAAATAAATATCATTGAATATTATTGCAGACATGTGATGCAGTTGATGGGATACAGACCTGTGGAAGGATCACACGAGCAACAAGCAAACATTTCAATCCCTCTAGTAAGTGATGATTACGAAGTGAAGGACTGGTAACGAGACATGAATCAGGTCAAGTCTGAATAGCAGTGACCTTATCGCGCAAAGAGAAAGCGAGTATTTGCTTCGTCAGTCTTGTCCGTCTCGTCATCTCACCATGATCAGCTTGTTGAGAAAAGCACTCAATACAACCAAAGGGTAACTTTGACACAAAAGGAAGAAAAAGATTGAACTTAGAAAAGGAGAGACGGTAATTTTTGAGTTTGGTAAAGAAATAGAGAGAGATGTTATTTCGTCTTATCGCGAGCGTGAGACAAGAAAAAATTCTTAGTCCCCATGAAGAATCGAACCTCAGACCCTCGGATTCCCCGTTACAATTCTCTGACATTGAGCCACAGAGACTCTGTGGCGAGCGAGGTCTATAACGAAGTTCATATTACGACAAAAATATATTCTCTAGGATTGAACTTTACAAATATTTGTGATTACATCTTTGACTTTTTTGGATTCAAAGTTATGTTAATGCACGTTGTCTAAGAGGCTGACAACAGCCTCTATTCACCCTCAAAAGCCAAATTAGGTACTGAGAAGATCTAGAACATGACTGCCCTTCGTAACGGAGAGCTTCCCCCTCTTTCTTTTGAAAGCTAACGCCCTCTAACCATTCGGAACTAAAGCCCATCAAGGCTTGGTTATAGTCGTGATTTTCAGCGCTTCGTGCAGCTTTCCCATTGGCTCTTTGTAATATTTCTCTTCGTCCTGATTGGCGGCGGTTATTGGTTTTAGTTTTAACACAATCAGCAGAAATACGCTTAAGTATTTGAATCACTTTTGAGATTGCTGATGCTACCACACGTAAACGGCAGATCGTGGTTTAAGTATAAGTATTGTATGATTGGCAGTAAGGATACTTATACTGTAGATCTTGAGATCGAGTGAAAAGGTTCATAACAATCCAATATGAGACGTAAAAAGGCCATGATGATAACCAGCTTTTCGCCGCTCAAATTCAAATGCGACCTGGAAAAAGGCGGTAAAACTTCCGCGCTCAAGGGAATCGGGAACCAAAACTCAAATTTAAACAGACTCAACGTTGACAGAGAACTGAAGCAATAAGAAAACCAACAGTCAGTTTATCTTAGATAGTAAATAAGATTCGTATTTAATAATTAGTCATAGCATTTCTTTTACATCCACGCAGTTTTTAGTGCAAGTAATACCCAATTGTTCCCATTTGAGAATTGAGCGTCAGATAGAACTATAGAAAAATAACTTGTTATTAAAACAAAGTACACTCGAAAGATGTTAGTTTTCCTTTGGATGCAGGTATGCTTCGCCCACTGACAAGTTCGTAAACATAATTCTTCGCAAGACTTCCATGATTCCTTGGGTGAATTATGTTAGGGGCGCATTAATTAAGTAAGTCCCTTTTCCCGTGTTTAATATTGCGGTGTTGCGACGTGACGAAAAGAGTTACTTTTGAATTTCTCCATAGCAAGACGAGGAAGCTCGGTTTTCCAGGATGGCGCGAAGATAGTCTTCTATGACACGCTGGACTGAAAAGGAAACATTTTGTTTTCATGCCATGCATAAAAACGACAAGAAAACAATTATAGTTCCGATCCATCATGGAAATCATTGTCAGCAGATACCTCGTACAATGCCTTAAATAATTTCGTGACTTGTCTCAATCGAGTTCTTAACCCTTTCACCCCTAACAGTGGTAAGCATCTAAGGTCTCCCAGCAGTATCACCCCTGAATCAAACATTACTGGTCAGGAAAAAAAAGGAAATGATCGCGAACTCAACAAGCTCTTGACTGTTAGGCAAATTCTCCTTGTAATTTCCATAGGAAATGTCTAGAGAAACTTCTTTTCATCTTTTGTTTTTAATTTTATTTTTCTCTGTTTTTCTTTTGTTTACGAATCGATATTTACTCTCATCCTATGAGACTCCATGTCAATTTTCTCCATCCCTAACCATTGTTGTTGTGTAGTTATCTGTTAATACCTCCTCAGTATGATCCTCTCTTCCCATGTCAAGATTTGGCGTGTTTCATTCTCCAATTTGACAATGGATTTGTATCTGACTCTAAGCACAGCACTTCCGTCAGTGAAGTCTTATAGTTGGCAAGAATGGACAAATAAAAAAAAAATACTACTTTGACGAAGAGCTCCGTTCTCATCACTAACTTACCATTTTTGTTTCCCACTCCTAGAGCTAGGCTCAAAGCGGTGTGACCTTCGTTGTTTGTAGCTGTTAAGTCTGCTCCATGTTCTAAACAGATTTATATGATAGAGTGAATTATATATGAATTTTGATTGGGTTTTACTTATGATCTATTGGAGGAAAGTCCAATAGTTGATGTCACCATAAACATAAAATTTTGCTTTTTTCCCATACAAAATAAATAGATTGTAGGTTGCCGTGGGTCTCTACAGTAACAGAACACAACCAAACGTGGTAAGAACATGGGTGACACATTCGGCTGCGCCTCGTGGGCCACTTTCTCTTTCTTACGGTATTTTGTTGTCATTGGTGATCTATTACTGAACAGACCCAATGCAACAGGGAACCTATTTGTTAATTAGTTCACACAAGTTCATCAAAAGTTAACACTTATTTATGTTTTGTGATTGGTCCATCTAGACACAAGAAACATTCCATCAGTGAATCAGATACAGAATTAATCCAAATCCCAACTTAACTATCCTGATTTTCCCACACAAGGGGCTGTTTGAGTTCTGATGGGTCCCTGATTAATTTAAACTTGGTTCTGATTTTGCAATACTCAACTGAGGAGCAGAGTAGAAAAAGTTTTCTTACCAAGTAGAAGTTTAACAACCTGGGGGTATCCATTATACGCTGCATACATGAGAGGTGTGCCTCCTTCCTGCAATAAAAATTTAGTCACATATTTGTGATTACACCAAACATTACACAACATAAGCAATTTTCATATCTGTGTGCCTATCTCATATCAATGCAGTCAGAAATTTTTTCTTTGAAGCCCATTTAGGGATTATTCAACAATACTTAATAAATTTATGCTGCTTACTCACCCTTCACACCCTAACATCAGTATGCATATTCTCTATACTGTTCTCTATACATTTCCTAAGGTGCTTACAAGGAGACTTTGTGTAACAATCACAAGTGTGTTTGGTTGGTGATCATTTCTTTGATTCATGTGACCTTAATGTGTGATTCAAGTGTTTAACTTGTGAAATAACCTTTTGAACAGGCATTTATCAAATACAACATGTATCACATGCAGGTTGAAACTTAACACAAACCACATTTGCAATATCTGGATCAGCTCCATACTCCAAAAGCTGCTCAACAACATCCAGTTGGCCCTGACAGGCAGCAAATGAGAGTGCCGTCTCTCCAGTTGGACTGCATGCTGTGGCATCTGCACCACTCTTGAGCAGCACAGATATGGTCGCTTTCTAAAACAGTAACATTATATAACTGAGCAACTCTGAACCACAGTTTGATTGAGTGTTTTATCTCTCATGATATTACCTGCCTATGAGCTGCTGCCCAAGCCAGAGGTGTCAAACCTGTTTTATCCACAGCATTTACATCTGTTCCTGCAGAGTACAAACCAGCGGGAAACATAATAATGGTGGGCATCCAACAGGTCATAGAGGAAAGACCTTTCAGAAAGCTCCTCCTATTAATGGTAATCTGAGTTTTACAATCTATTCTGCACTCTCACCTGACCCTCTCTAATTCCTGCTTGAAACTTAAAGCTATATTCCACTCAGAATGTAACCAGTGTAAAGTAATATACATTTGAAACTGAATGCAATATGCTGAGACTTGATCTGAATGGCAAGTCTAATGGAAATGAGATGAGTAAGGTTTAGGTAGGGTACAAAATAACAGAATCTGCTAAATGGGAAAGTAGAAAGACACTCTGCTGCTTCATGCTAAAGAAACCAGATTCTAATGTTCTATCAGATAATAAATTGACTTCAAATCTTATGCAAACCTTTGTCAATCTCCTCTTTTATTTTTGCAATTTCACCCTGAGCTGCCAAGAAATGTAGAGAGGGGTCTGGAAACAGCAAAACAGTATACAGTCAAACTGGTGTAACAAGCACACCTACAGTACCCTTACTAGTATTCCTTTGATACCAGCTGCAGAATAGGTAGCCATTCTGGTACATTGTGCAATGATAACATATTTAATTTTTCTGTCTGGTACAGCTTTAAAAACAAACATTGTCGGCTATTAAATACATAATTTTTTTTCTAAGCCTCTTCCTTCTCATGTATACTATGCCCGAGTAGATTGCAGAGAGATTTATGATATGACTGTAAATATACTTGGAGTCTATTTCTACTCTATTAGGTCAATATATAATGCTTTAAACCACATCTGCCTCTCTTGGATTGTTAAACTTTAGTGAACTTGAACTAAGATAAGGAATTTCAAGTAAAATCCCATAACTGAAGGTGTCTGCTTAAAACAAAGGTTTAGTCAGAAAAAGAAAACCTCAAATGTAGGATCTGCTTTGGCTTATTAGAGGAGTCTCGTAAATATAGCATGATGTAGCTAGAGGGAAAGACTTGGGGTAGTCCTTTGCAAAATGATTTTTTTTAAAAAAAAACAAAAAAGCAAAACTCCAAAGAATCTACAAGGCATGAATTACTTACTGCTTGCCCCACAAAAATTCAGTTTTAGTAAAACACAGTGTGGATGTCAACATGATGGTACATTGGGTACTCTTATTCTGATACCATCCCCATCTCTTTTAAAAATCCCAGCTATCCCCCAGTACAAGATTGATTGTTTTACTGTAGATATGGGGTGACAAAAGTGGACTTCTTATGTGTTTGCTCTATACAGGGTATGCAATAAACATGGGGTATATCCAATTAAGACTAGTTTTCTTGTAGCTTGAGGTGCAATTCCTGTCTGTAGTAGCTTTTCAGTAAAGCCTGTGGGAGTTTGGCTAGTGATGCAGAACATTATGATATGGCAAATTTGAAAAATATATCCTGTAATACAATATTATACATTCTTGGATTCTGCAAACATTTTTAAACTGAGGAAATATAACTGATCTGGACAGATTTAGCCTACACTGTGCTGCTGCATCACCAGTGCCAAGAGATTCTTGAATGTCATGCTCCAACATCTGCAAAAACAGATGCATTTTAATAAACTTCAGGCAAGAAGCAAATAAAATCCCTTGAGTCTCTTTATGTAAAGTTATACAGCCAAATGCTAAATGGCATCTAATCTTTATATCCTTAAGAAAAAATCCTCCTGGTAGACTCCACTTATAAATGACTCAGGAACAAACCCAGAAGTGGAGAGGCCGTAGAATCCAACATCAGCAGATGTCAGGCTGTTATGAGAGGCAGGATTAGGCGTGCTGCCTCAAAATATGGTTTAGCTGGAGATGCTGGAGGAATTTACAACGAAATTGTTGGACTTTGTGATGCTTTGTGAATAATCAATCCAAGACTCACGTAGTAAAAGTCTTAATAAATTTTCTCTGACACAACTGTTACAATCTTAACAAAACAAAATGAATATGCCAACTGCCCCTAACTCTCCCATTTGTTTGCTAAGAAAAAAGGCATGTTTGAAGCCTTGATGCAGTTTCATCACTGATCATAGAGAGGAGGGAGGGGTGAGTGGCAAAAAAATTTTTGAAAAATTTTCTCCTCGAAAAATGTAACCAATACTGGTGTCAAAATTGAGTGACACACCTTTATCCCAGTTGTCAACTCCTTTGTTGAGGAAGACCTTGAGCCTCGCCTGGCTGAGCTGGTTGCGCCTGATTGGGAAACATTAGGGTCTATGAAAGAATAGTTAAGTATATTTTTAATTGTATATTATAAGCAAATGTTAGGCCAAAAAAAATATCCTCAAGTCCTCCCAGACTAGTTTGTTAGGTGTTATTCAAACTCCTATAAGATTGTTTTCATCGTGATGGCAATCACAGTCGCGCACGATCAAAGTTCAGCAAGAAAATATAAAATTTGAAAGCCAAAAAGTCAAATAATCAAGAAAGCGTGTTGTGATCTTTTGTGGTGGCAAACGTAACATTTGTCGATCGATCACCACGTGGTTTAAATTTCCCACTCCCGATCACCCACCTGTTCCTAACACGGCTGCCACCTCTTGATCAGGTTCAAGGTGACAACTCACTTTATCTTGCATGTCTCCCTGTACCTCATGGTTCCCTAGCATAATTTTATGACTTTCTGAAATACAACACAATAACATTAAAAGTCTAACTAGGCACAAAAGGAATTATCAAAACAAACTAAATCGAGTGCCCTCGTTCTAGTGCTAAGTTCTGCCCTTGGGTTTGGCCGAGCAGAGACTGGGAGTACCTCTTCAAGTTGTTTTTGTTTGCATAACATCGCAAAATACGTGGAATGATCGGTTTAATAATGTTACTTCGCTCAAGCGTTGTGTGGTAATGACAACATTTTGCTATTAAAAGCACAGGACCAAGAGATTATAGATTGAGAAGGGAAGAGAAACAGTCGAATACGTCTCGTGTTTCTCCCTTTACTTCTTTCGTGTTCTAGCCGCTTCTTGCATGCGTTACAACGGACAGAGCAAAGTCAAGGCTTTTCTGTTTGTTTTATAACAAAAAATTCGTTAAATTACGAACGCATTGCTTTCAATTTTCAAAAAAAGCTTTCTTTTCAAAGCGAACAACAGTCTATACTCTCATAAAACGTAAATTGGTGACAGCAAAAAGTAAAATTTGGTTAATTTTCGTTTTCAACTCAGTTGTTAACATTAAGGGCTTGATTACATGGAGGTGGGGGACCCCTGGTAGGTGAGGTAACCGGCCTAACTGGGGTAACCCGCCTGTCCATATAATTTCTTATTTTATTTTGGTCACGTTTACATGATAGGAGCACCACAAGTTTCTTTAGAAACTTACCCCCATAACTACCCCCATATATATTCTCATAAAGCACGCTTCAATAAGCCAATCAGAAACCTACTGGGAATGGTACAAATAATCTGATTGGCTGAACAAGACTAAGGCTGTCAAAAATGTCAAACCATCAAAGTTTAAAAACCATCAAAGTTCACATTCTGCGATAATTACAAACTTTAAGAGATCGGCAGGTCGAAGTCAACACTTTTGCCGGAAGATTTTTTAGTCTCCAATACAGAATCTGAAAGTGAAATGTTCAATGAAATGCGGCCGAATTGTGGCTTATAAAAACACGCAAGTTTTTTCACATAAAGTAGAAAACAAACTCTTCAATGCGAGTGTTTTATGAATGAACGATGTAATTTTTGAGGCTTGCTTCACACTGAGCTAGCAGCGATGGACCTCAGCATGATCGCAGTCGCACTGATACCGTCATAATTAGTAGGAATTTTTAACAGTTATGCCAGTTTGGCGATATTTTTCATAATTCCTGTCTTGTTCTGTTTTTTTTTTTTAACACGAAACTTTATATGCTATGCGAGTGTTAGCTGTGTTTGCTTCTTATTACCGTAGGTAAGCTTGCAATCTAAATACGCGTGAAAACCTTCGAAACTCGGACTGTGCATTTCGTTTTCTCTTTGAAAACTTTCGTCTCTGCTCACATCAAAATAATGTAGATTACGGCGCCTGAAATGTTTACAAAGGTTTGTTTGTATCTTATTATAATCTGAGTTAGAACCCGTATGTACCAAAGCCTTTCAGAAAATTTTCATCTAATAATGAAAGCTTTAAATCCTCTAGTTGGCTAGTTTAGTTTTCTCGCTGGGGACGGGGAAACGGGACAATTTCAGGTGAGAGGTGTAGGATGTATTCTAAGTGAGCAACTCTTTGGGTACTTTCATTTTGCCTTTATCCTCCAGGATAATCCCCTTCCTCCCATTCCCCCCCCTTATTAGTATATAAAGCTTCTAAAGACAGCATGTAAAACTTCTATCGTTTGAGAGCATATGTCAGCTATGCCGTACGTTCTGTTATAAAAACGCTTGTATGACAGACATCAGTGATATTTATTAGACATGCCCGGCGGTCTATAAATTGGACCTGAAGCACCTTGGATGTGAAGTGCGGAAGTTGGGCATAGGTCATTAGACTCGTCATAGGCCGCGCGTCTACTTTTAAAAAGACCTGTTATGGCGCAAGTAACCTGATTGTCTACGGAAAGTATGAGGTGGTTACTGGGAATTAAATTAGACAATGGAAATCGCTAGATATAAAGTGATCAGGTGATAGAGTTAGTAGAATGAACTTTTTGGAAAGCGCTAGCATCACTGTGTGTTCACGCTGTTTTGTTGTGCGCTTTGATCATGAGTTTGGTATTCAAAAGGTTGACTTCAAGTTAATAAAAAACGAAATGAAAGTTATTTATTTTCCAACCGCACTAGGTAGAGTACAAATAGCGCACGAATCGATTTAAAACATCTTGCGATATTGGAAAGTTGATTATCAAATTTTGTATTGTAAAAAAATACCTGTTTAACTGGTCGACTGCGCGTCCTACGCTTCTCTATCTGCTTTGCTTTTTCCACCTTATACGAAATGTATATAAAATAAAGCAGTTTGATGACAAATAAGTTATCAGTCGTTTTGGTATGTACTATTGCTGAGTATTCTTATTCCTTGTATCTATTTAGACTCGCCTTACGGGCTCGTCAAAATATGGCACAATTCGTAAAAATAGTATACACCAAAACGTTAAATAAGAAATATTTGTCATAATAACCATACAGGTATGTTAGTGTACAATCCTCAGATGAAAACGTCCAACTCACGTCTCTGACACCAAACCTCGACTGCATCAGCGAGTCGGTCGATTTATTTTGTTATCATGGAGCCTGGTGACCTCGGATTTCCTCAAACCAATATCCGAAAAGGCATTTTCTAACTCGGTAGCAATGTGAACTGTTTTGTCTGCCGATTCTTCGGTAAACTTCTGAGGCCGGTTAACATCCAATGCGCGTTGGTCAGAAGCCTTGGAAGATTTAGAGGACGACGATGATTGTTTGTTCAGTGATATATCAACTCCCCCTGACTCGCTGCTTAGAGTAGTTTCGTCCTTTGTTACATGCATTTTCAGTTTTCCAGCGTTCCCGAGGACTTGAAATCCTCCGTATTTCACATCTGACTTTTTACTTCCTGAAACGCTTTGTAAAGAATTACTTTTATGTTTCCGTTTGGTACTCAAAAAGGATAGACCTTTTTTTGGTGTTACCCTTCCTTGCTTTGTCTCTGCGGTGTTTAAGTGGACTCTTCGTTTCGTCGAATCATTTACATGGTATTTCTTCTTTCCTCGCGGACCTACAGGCATCTTCCTCCTGGAAATCTCAGATTTACGAAAGCTTATTGAGTTCCAGCCAGCCTGAGTCACATGCACTACGGGTTTGTCCGATTTAAGGACAGGATATTCGGCCGTACCAGGCTTGACTACAACTTGAACTGAGTCCGCTTGTGCTGTTACCTTCGCTTGGTCTTTGGTTGCCAGGATTTTCAAATCCCCTGATTTGTCTTCAACTTGAAAATGTGCCTTTTGTCCTTCGCTTCCCTGAGCCCGCGCATCGGACAACCAAAGAAACAAGAATAAAACTCTTATCATCATGATAAAATAACGGCGATTTACTGATAAAAATTACATATATGGCACAAAAACGCTGCCATATCCGCAAACTTCACTGAATCAAAAATGCCTCTAACCGGTCGCTATCGACTGTTTTAAACTCTCGTGATTGTCACTTTAAATAATTAATCAGAGTCAGCACCTTTCACATCATTTTTACCAAAATCCTTTGGAAAATCGAAATAAATGTTACGGGCTTTATTTTAATTCCTATTTTTTCTCAGTGCCTTTTTGTTGAAATAAACCCTTTCCGCCAGTTCTCGGCTGCAAATCAAAAGTGCGATGGCTTAATTTCAAACCTCACTAACTGCCACCAGGCATATATATCGGGTGGTCTGATTAAGTCGCTCGAGCCAAGAGTTACTTTAAAACTCACAGATCTTGTGTTACTGACCGGACGTAAATAAAAGCTATGAGTTTTTGCTGATATTGCTTATGATTTTCTTTCTCGGCGCTAATTAATGTTTTCGTAAACTTCAGGTCATTTCAAGTGTTTATTTATTCAACAAAAGCTACAACGCCATAAAACATACAACAGTGCCCGGCGTAAAAACCACGTAATTCATTTAGTTAATTTGTTCCAGGCCATATGAAGGAATTCTGTGTTGAGTGCGTAAAAAAAAAAAAAAGAATTACATATTTCATTTCTCGTCTCATTTCCTCTCAGCTCACTCTCTTTCAATATTTATTCAACAGGTTGTTTCGTCGATTCTATTTGCTAATCTGCGCCTTTTGTTTGTCTTCTTCACCTGTTTACGTGCGTTATAGTAAATCGTAACAACAAATATTCATCATGGCCGCAGTTTCTGGATCAACAAACTCTCTTAAAATCTATTTGCTCTCTTTTGTTATTTTCATCTTCCTATTGATATCACAAACCAAGTCTTCACCAGTTCCGCAGGAGTTTCAGAAGCCTCACTTCCAGGTATATACTCTTTAATGATTGAGAAATTTGGGTGAGAGCAACAGCGATCGATTTTGCATTTGTACGCTTAACAAATTTCCTTAAGTTTAAATTTATTTGTTTATCAGTAGTCTGACGTAGTTATACTTGCATCAGGCAATTGCAGATTTGCTATCTTTGGCGTATTTCATAGTCTATCGAGTCCTTTGAACATATCAAATCACGTTACTACATTCATGCAAGACTCGCCAACTCTGATCTTAAGTCTGCTGTCGTTGTCAGGTGTAACAGTTTTCTGTCTTTTTATGAAAAAAGCCAGAAAAATGTGAAATGATGTCCCCTGAGTGAAAGAGACTTGCCGCTTCACGGTCAGTAAATACCTCTTAAAGAAGGATCACGGTTAAATACATCGGGCGAGCGTGGGAAACTGACGGAAATTTGCGTCAGTTTCCGTGATGATTCGAACTCTAACTAGCTCGGATATTTGCAATTTTTCGGTCAGATTCTCTAAAAGAACTCTATCCCGAGCTGAAGGCTCCATAGCCAGTCGCCGTTCGGGAAATCTGCCTACATACCTCCTTGCACGGGAAGGAACGGAAGCCAAATTCACTAAGAAAGTATCTGGAAATGAAATCAGATGAAATCACTATATGTGATCAAGGTTATCGCTGAGGCCTATGCATTCTACTCTTGACAGGTGGAACATAAAGCCGGTGTTTTATCAATTACGGCGACAAAGGATAAAGCAGACGTAGATGTAAAATCTGACACCATACGTTTGCTAGTCAAACCTGGAGATAGACAATATCCGGTTGGTGATGCACCGGAAGTCAAGACAGTCCACATAGAAGGAAATTACCCACAGATTTACCCCGTGTAGTAGTGAAAGGAAATCCAGTGATATATTGAACTAATCTCGCACCCAGATCCTACCGTGTGACTGGAACCGAAATGACCGCTTGACCATGGAGGGTCTGGATACCAGACTAACATTGAATCACTTTATCAACGTGATCTCAGACAACTTTATACTTGAAAATAAATACCCAAAATTTAAAAAAAAGATTCAACTGCCACCAAAGGCTAAGCGAAATGCTTTACTGGGAAAGGATACGCATGAAAAACAGACAACAAGCTTATGAGGTTGTGTTTTAATTACAAGCTTACAGGAATGACATCTACACGCGGATTTAATTTTTTGTGCACTTTCCAGGTCAGTGTTAGGTGTGTCCGAACAGAAATAAATGGTTCTTACCAGTGTAAATTTATGGCTAAATTAAAGCCACGCCCTATGAATACGGGCATGCCAACACGAATCTCTCTAAGGTTTTCAATGCCCAAAAAGATGGAATTTTTTTTGCTTTGCCGTCGCCATCGTCAGCGCAGAAATCTGCCCGAACATCACTTTGCTTGAAGTCAGCACAGGAGTGTGAAGACTGTGTGGCCTTATTTAGACGACAGGACCAATAGGACCAGAAACAGATCTGTGCGGTTTTAGGACAGATATCCTGTCCATGTGCAGACAGGACTCTCTATCCCGCTTGGTCTGACATGTGCAAAGCGGCAAGAGTTGCAGTCTCAAGACTAAAGATTGAACAGCGTCTAAACGAAGCTAAAGGCTACTGTCATTCAGCTCAGTGCATGTTTATGGCACCGGCTCAGAGCCGTGACTCATAGAACCTCGTACACCACGAATTAATCTATGCATTACTTCATTCATCGATTGATCCGAAAATAAGAGGAACGACACCGAGGATAGAAATTAATAAAAGCTTTTTATTGCATCATTTTTATTTAAGACTTGCGTCAACTCTTTTCATTGAAAAGCATTTTTTTTTATAAAACACGCTTTCAAAAAACTCTTTACGGGTTTGCTGCATGGAAACACTGTTGACAAGACCAGGATCCATGAGTCTCGCATCTCCACATGGTAATGTCGCACTGAAATAAAGTTAAACAACAGGTTTTAATTCTTAATAGTGCGGATTTGTTTATTTCATCTCTAATATGTATTTCCTGGCTAAGTGTGGTAAAACGCCCAAAAAATATTGGAAAAAACGGAAAACGAAACAATTTTACGGTGTTCGATTTTAAGTTTCGGACACAGCACACAGCCATACTTGACCAACTAGTCACAGCAAGGTGATCAAACGAGATGTTCAGTCTCTCAAAACATTGGATTGCGTTTACTTCCCAAAAGTTTCACAACAGAAGTTAGTAAGTTTGTTACATTTCTGAAATAAATGGCCCTTGTTCATGGATTGATCAATGAAATTTTCAATAAAATAGAATCATTAACTCACTGGCTGAGAAACGTAGTGACTGTAAACGTAATGTCCTTCTCTAACTGGTAGAGTCGTGGCAACAAATGAGTTCAGTTTAGTTAAAGGTGATACTTGACTATCCATGCTGTGTTGGACACTCTTTAGGTGATGTTCTATAGACGTGTTTTGTGGAGCCATAGGAGGTTCATCCATTGTGACATAAAGTTCCGCTTCAAGCTTTGGACAAGCAGCTCTGTTACCTGCTGATGGGTCTGGGGCTGAGTTGCTCAATGCAAGAAGAGCGTAGGCTGCATCAATTTCCTCTTGAGTATATTTCTTTTCGAGGAAAATGGTTAATCATATTATCATTATCAATAGAAAAGAGAAAAGGTCTAATGCAAGAGCGTTGCTAAGGGAGGAGGTCTTTGGACGTCCTACATCAAAAAAACTACAGCTTCTCAAAATAAATCAAGTAGACAATTTGCAAAAGAATTAATTGATGTGCTTCAGTAGACATCACAAGAAACTTATCATAATAGAAACAATACGATCGTTGCATTAAAATCAGGGAGATAGGATTCCTCCACATTGAACAGTGCATATTATACTATAACGCAATGATAAAACAATTAATGATATATGGATCAACTGTTTGGTCGAACTGCTCAAGTGATAACGTAACGAGAGTCTTCAAGCTTCAAAACGCGCTACCCGAGTTATCTTGGAAGCTGACACAAGGTCGAACAATGTGAAACTCTTTAAGAAATAAGCGTGGGTCCCTTTCTAGGACGAAGTTGAGTTCAATAAGAGTACTTTAGTCTTAAAGCGTTTACAAGGAAGCTGTCCTGTTTATAAGTATGATTACTCAAATTAATGCAGACCTTCCTTAAATAAAGTTGTTTATTTATTTTTTTTATATAAGCACGAGTTTGCAGCCGTTCAACGGTTCACATCGCGGTTTTTGTCATAATAGCCCAAACTCTTTTCAACCTGGACGCGCTTCTTATGGTGGGCCAAGAAATAAAATTTTAGGCATTAAACTACAAGGATAAAGCTTTAAGATTTACCAGACCTTTTTATAAGCTTATAAAGAAGACCTTTATTTTACCTCCACGAAAAAGACACAAAGTACATCATTTCAACGGGTCGCTATTCGGACCGACTAAGAAGAATAAAACTAATTCCGAAATTTTGCAATTGTCGGCGGATTCTTGATACATATTGTCAGTGGTACTTAATAAATTAAGATAGATAAAGAAAATATTAGTAAAGTGTTTTGATTAATTGTAAAATACCTACATTCTGATTGTTTTGCTGCGATCGATTGCTTGAGGTTGAGGCCTTGTCCGTGACAGACTCCATTATTACACTTAAAATCGACTAAGGAGGTGATATCTGACAAGAGAAAATAAAGTAGAACCAGGAACTCACTGGCTGAGAAACGTGGTAGAGTTGTGGCAACAAATGAATTCAGTTTCGTTAAAGGTGATCCTTGACTATGGCTTTGTTTTGTGGAGCCATGGGGGTGGGGGTTGTTCCGTGGCACATAAATTTCCGCTTCAATAAATAGAAAACTTTTTTCTTTGCTTTGGTTATGATATTTTTCGCACCGAGATAACGGTATATTTTACAACTTTCCGTGACGTTCAAATAAGGTTTAACTAACAACCACATCGTGATTCTGTGAATGTTGAAAAACAGTGGATCAAATGCTCTTTAGAAATTACCTTAAGAAGTTTCCTCTTGGAAAAATGCCCTATCTACAAACTGAAACTTGACAGAGTGCAAACTCGAGTCCATGGAAATAGATGACGTCATAATGGAGTCACTTTACACGGCGCGCGCTCATCATGAAATAAGTGAAGTTCCATTCTATATCATTTTATGCTGTTGAATTTTTATCAATATTTGTTTTGATTTTTTTTTCATGGTTTTTTTTTTTTGGTTTGTTGTGATGGGCAACAACTTCAGGTTGCTTCTAACCAAGGGCAGGTTCGATCGTGTCCTGTGCACTTTCTGAATCAAATTTAGGGAAATAAAGTGAAGTAAGACCTAGGCGAATTCAGTGGACGAGCTTCTGATAGACGCTACTATTGTGAACATTTTTGGAGTTTCGCGGAAAGACTGATAGGCGTTACATGCTTACGAGGATATAATCAACGGGAAAAAAAGCGAGCTAGCGGCAATTTCCTTTAGAATACCACTACTCCATGTAATCGGAATCGTAGTATACTTACAATAAATGTTTTCAAGATGGCGGCGTCCGCCAGAGGAATATTAATTCTCGACCCAGAGCTGTGAAGTTGTCTCCGTAGCTGTCAAAAGGATGACTAAACTATGGTTTTTGTTAACGTTTGCATTTTTTTCGAAATACTTTCTGCAATCAGTGTCTGGAGGTAAGCCATGGCACCTGAGTTTGTATTCTAGACTTTGTTTTATTTTTAAACTTTCTTAAGCTGTGTCTATGTCTTGCTGCCGGAAAGGGTTTTAAAAAGCATTGTGTCTCTGGCTGTCAGGAATTTTTACAGAGTTCCTCCTCATAGGTTTTTCTAGTTTATTAAGAGCATCAGATGTCTGTGTAGAAATGTCAAGCGATTTCAAAACTCACTTTGGGTTTTAGTGAACGAATTTTTCGAGCATGTACGTGTGCACACTGTAAGGCTTTCTTACTGTATGACACCGAGTATTTTTGATAACTATTATGAAAGATGTATGCCAAACACATACTACGTTAATTCTGCTGCTCTTACATTAAGATACATGATAAATTGTTGTATCATGTGTGCAGGAAGTGTTGTACTTAATATGGCTGTTGTTAATGATAAACTAAGTAACATTTGTCTTTTCACTCCAGCCAGATTGGTATAACTTTTTTTATGCGAATACCATAGTTTTCCTTGGAATCCTTCACACTTTATCTAATTTTTTATACTATTGTTGTACACTTACTGTCTTTTGTTGCTAGAAATGTTGCTCATCAGGGCCTGGTTGATCAAAAGGGGGTCAGCGCCAATCTAGGATTAATCTTGGCTTTAATCTCACGTGTAGAAGAGTGTGTATAGGAGCTTAGGTTTTGTTGGTGTTTATCTCATTATGACTCAAAACTAACAAGTAAAGAATGCAAAAGAAAAATCCCTTTGCAGAGTTATTAAACTGAATTAAAAGAATTACACTAACCCCAGTTAGGTTAATCATATTTTGAACAACATGGCCCAGGAAATTCCTGGACCACTTATAACCAATTGAACTTTAAACATTTTTTATTTGGCTTCCAACTGTAGCGGAAGTAAATATCAACTTGACAGACTTCCAAGGAGGTGTAGTTGTTATACCTGAGAATGATCAACAAGGAACATTAAGAGTACAGTTGACAGAAGCAAATATTTCTACACCTGTAAGTTTGCTACCAACAACATTTTGCATTTCATGGAGGAGTGTGAGCAAAATTTCATGATAAGTGTATTTCTAACTTTCATCTGTTTAGAAACTGGGTAGAAGATGCAAACTTTGTGTTGTTCTTTTTAACATATTTATTACTTGATAACAGTAAGACTTGTACCTGCCTTGATAAGGCAGGTACAAGTCAAGTATTAATCCCAGAGGTACTGGTAAGTGTACTCCCCCATTCCTCTTCTCTCTCCTCTCTCCTCCCCCCTCTCTATCCTCTCCCCATCTCTTCTCTCTCTACCCTCTCTACCCTTTCTAACCTCTCTCCCCCTATCTTTTCCTCCTCTTTCCCCTCTCCCCCTCTCTACCCTT